CACTATTTATAATCTATATAAAATACATGCCTCTACCACTATTTGTAATCTATATAATATACATGCCCCTACCACTATCTGTAATCTATATAAAATACATGCCCCTAGCATGACCACCAGTAGTTCTGCGGTAAATTTGCAGTCTTGCGACTGTAAAAATCGGTTTTCAATACATGTGGTGGACAGAGCAGACAGCCTAATTTGTAATTTTGCACTTAATAACCAAACCAAATAAAATACATACTGAAAAGTAAGTATATGTGAAAAGGTTTCACCCAGAGCTGCAAAGTTTTACTCGATGCCCGTGGTGGGCAGAGCACAGATAGCCCATTTTGTAGCTTTGTGCATAACTACAAACAAACCCTACGGTGGACAAAGTGTTTTGCTTCGCACTAACAAAAACAAAAAAAAAAAACAATTTCCGTAATATAAAAACCTAAACTACAAAAAAGAAAAATTTTTCTATCAGTAAACGTTAATAAAAAAATGTTTAACAAGATACCACTGTTAACAAATAATTTATTTTGATTTTATAAAAATTATAAATGACTTTGGTAATATTTAAGTAACTTTGGTAATGTTCTTAAGTTGTTTTCTAATTGTGAACAGATTTTTTTTCGTTCGAACCGTGGTTCTGAACTTCTACTTGTGTTCACGGAATCCACGTTCTAGTGTATACTGCTGAATAAATATCCGTCTATATGAATATTCACATATTTATGAAATAATAACTCAAATAATCTCGTTCACGAAATTTGAAAGAAGTTTGTCTAAAGGTGGTGACATTGGTTGCGTGATTACAAAAAGGAGTCTTCATATCAGTCGCCATTGTTTTCATTGTAAAAAAGGAATCCATTACATGCCTTGATCGTGAATTTTTTAAATATTTCTATTAGTGCTTGAGATACAAAAAAAGATGCTTTTTTAAAAACCGTATTTATCTGGATATGGGCCAGGAATGACCTAGTACTTAACGTGACGGATTATTAAATTGAGGGTTATGGTTCGCCTCCCGTTACCATATAATTGTGCTCTTCTCTTTGGGGCTGTAGGCGCATTATAAGGGTGACGGTCAGATCCAACTATTCAATAAGAGTTGCCCGAGTGTTGGCGACGGGTGCTGTTGATTAGCTGCCTTCCCTCTATCACTTTAAAATTAGGGGTGGCTGGTATAGATGGCCCTTGCGTAGCTTTGCGCAAATATCCGAAACAAACAAGTTATCTAGATATAGGCATGCTAGATAAATTATATGATCGTTGTTGGAAAATGTTAATACAGTTAACTGCTTCAAGAGCAATTTAGGCCTAATTCATATTCATATATAATAGTTTAAAAGCTCCTTAATCAGTAACTCACCGTGTTTCAACATAACATCAAATATTTTACCAAGTATTTTTATCTCTTCCGCAGTAATAAACAATAAAGCTTAATTCAGTACAACAAGAGAAAAACTGAAAAATATTAGATTATCGGTTAGGCTTACGAAAAAGCCACTAATGGAGTGCACTTCCTTTCGGAACACTAGTTAAACAGCTGTAGTTATTTAATTAAAATTATGTTTAAAAATTAACGTTTTAATAATAATAATAATACATTTTTTCACAGGAGCCTCGTAGAGAGATATTATACTAATGTGAAAATATAGATTTTATACGAAGAATATATCTGTTTTTTTTAATAATATAAAATAGAATTTTTAGTTACTAGATATTTCCGAATTATTTTTACGTTAGCTTGTTATGCCGCCTCGTTTTGTATTCTCTTTATGAAGACTTTTGTTTTTTAATAATTGCTTTGATTTATTGAAAATATTTTATCAAAGCCACGTGGGAAATTATTTTCTATGAAATAAATATGAATTGAAACCATCTTATAATTTTGGTCAAAGTTTTAATTTGTTCGATGCCATTTTTTTATTATTATTGTCTGTGTCTGTTTACACACGTGTAGTTGTATTGAATATCTTTTGAAAGCCTAACATTAAGCAAAAGATTTTATAAATACTATTTATGATCTTTAGACATTATTATTATCACTTTAAACGTTGTTAACTTTTTTGGGAAAGAAGTTAAACTGCAGTTTCTTAGGTTTTAGTAGAAAAATGGTTTTATAAATATTGTTAAAAAATAATTTGTATATTGTGGTTTGTACAATGAAAAAAAAACTATGGCTGTTCAGTGATGTTATCATGTGTGACTTCTAAATATCTGTAAATATTAAAGTTTTGTTGTTATTAAAAAATTAATATGATAAACACTGCAGGATTCTCTTGATATTGGGTTAAAGGTCAAAGAGGTCGAGAATGAGTTTGGACAGCTATAATTAGCATGAAATTGTGAAACGTTAAATACACTTTTTATACGGAGCTCTATAACACAAATATCGGGATGGTTCAAAACAGTGGATATGTTTTCTTAGGCTTTAGTTTTCTTTCTGAAATGTAAATGGTATAATTGTTTTTAGGGACAATAAAAATTACATCTGATGAGAGAGTTTGAAATTTATCTTGGCGATACTGTGTTTTGTCTTTGTTTTGTTTATCTTGGCGATACTGTGTTTTGTCTTTGTTTTGTTTATCTTGGCGATACTGTGTTTTGTCTTTGTTTTGTTTCAAGACACATGCTTTTAAAACTGAAACATTGAGTAATGATGATTATACAAATATATTTATTTATTTATTGTTTCATGACGTAAGTTAATGTACTTCAACTTTAATTTAAATTTGAAAAATTACTGTAATAAAATCTTTTTAAAAATACCTTAACAAGTGTAACGTTAATAACTCAAGGAACGCAAACGCAAATTGTTATTTAAAAATACATTTGTGCTTATATATCCTACTTGTTCATGGACTCGTATTATTTCATTACAACCAGGGCCGCATTAAGGTTTAGTGGGGGCTCTAGGCCCAGGTAACATTTGGGAACAATAATAATGACTCACTCTTGCCCTTACAACGCTAGAATCCGGGTTTCGATACCCGTAATGGGCAGAGCACAGATAGCCCATTGTGTAGCTTTGTGCTTAATTACAAACAAACACTCTTGCCTCTATTCTGCTAATTTTATGAACCATATTTTTTTTTTACTTGGGTGGCCGGCAGGGCCCTAGGCCGAGCCTAGGTGTCCTATGTATTAATCCGGTACTGATTATAACCATTATATCAAAACCATTCCGTTGAGTGGATATCAGCTTCTATGAATAACTAGTATCTGTATAATCATAACTTGGTGAATATGGTACAATTGTTTTAATTAATCAACCAAATTAGTATTATTTTAATTACACAACCTGCTATTAATTAAGATTTGAAAGTTCGTTCAGGATACATATTCTTTATGGAAAAAGTAATTCTAGCAACAAAAAACGAACTTTACTATCTAGATAATAATAAAAACTTTTTATTTCAATCAACATTGCGGCTCCATCAGAGTTAGTAGTACAAGAACTGTTCCTGTTTTTCAGGATTTGTAGTGCTCATCAGAATTAGTAGTACAAGAACTGTTCATGTTTTTCAGGATTTGTAGTGCTCATCAGAGTTAGTAGTACAAGAACTGTTCCTGTTTTTCAGGATTTGTAGTGCTCATCAGAGTTAGTAGTACAAGAACTGTTCCTGTTTTTCAGGATTTGTAGTGCTCATCAGAGTTAGTAGTACAAGAACTGTTCCTGTTTTTCAGGATTTGTAGTGCTCATCAGAGTTAGTAGTACAAGAACTGTTCCTGTTTTTCAGGATTTGTAGTTCTGGAGGGATTTAAACAACAAAGAGGAAATTCATCGATTAAAATTATCTTAAACAACAATAAAATACAAACAACCGAGTTGGTTAATTATACAACTAAAAATATCGGTATATTTTATCAATGCTAGAAACTGGGTGGGCAGAGCACAGATGGTACATTTGTGCTTAAGTTCAAACAAAAAACAAAAGCACGATATATTTTAAGTTAATCTAATGCTCGCTCAACGCTCATTGTCTACTCTGTAATAATAATAATAATAATAGCTTCCGATCACATTAAGAGTGAAACTTAAGATCAACAAGGTAATCAGTATAGCTGGCTAAATCTACTTTTCTTGCGTTTCTATATATGGAGATTAAAATGTCATCAGTCTTCTCTGTTCGCGATATTTTCGGCCGTAATCCTAAACGTTCTTTGTGTACTCTAAGTAGACGATATTTTGAGGTCGTGATAAAGACAAGAGTTCCCGAGATGTTTATTATTACAGCGACAAAATAATTACAAACTTATTTTACTTTTATATTGCTAGACAGTACTATAAAAATAATCACAAGAACAAAACTGGTATGGAGAGGTTTTTGAAAGCAACAAAGTTCTTTAGTGAAACATAATATCTCTCCAGTGGTCAGCGGTAAGTTTATGGACTTACACTGCTAAAAGCAGTCGTTTCGCGGTGGACAGATTGCAAATATCTCAATTCGTAGCTTTAAGCTAAACACACACACACACAAAAGAAAAAAATTAAAACATAGATGTTTATAATATGTTATTAATTAGCAAACAATATTTAGCAAAAATAAAAAATTCAATAAAATGTAAAAAACGTGATGCTTTGACTTAAAGTGTCTCAAGAAAATTTTGATTTACCTACGGTTTAGGTTCACTCGTAATATAGATACACACACACACACATTATTCAATATTTATATCTTGTTTGTCAAGCATACATTTAATTTTTCAAAATCTTAAAAACTGGTTTCATTTTCCATGAAGTTCCCTGGGAATTGGTTTTGTTGCCCTAGCCTTTATGCTTCTATTCGGATCACCTGGTGGGACAGCGGTAAGTTTATAGGCTTACAATGCTAAAATCGAGGGTTCGATTCCACATGGCGAACACAACAGATAGCCTTATGTGGCTTTGTCCTAAAACAAACTTATATTCAGTTTCTACGATCAAAAGTTAGAGTGTTTAACTTTTTCATGTGCACGTGTACTCTCGAACACAAAGGTTCTACAGAAAAAACAATAAGTATGGGAGTAGATTAGGCTTAGTTAAAACAGAAAAAGAACGTGGCAGGACTTTAACTATAAACCAGATGTATTCACAGAGAAATAATCCTATCCTCTTCGCCGTTCAAATTATAGTCACAGACAACAAAGTAACTCATTAAGTAACTTAGTAACATTAACTAAGAAAGTTAGACGATATTTATAACTTTTGTAGCGAATCATTTTATGAAAATAAAAGTGGAAGTTATAAGTGACGAATTATGGGGAAATATGTTCCCTTTACCCATATTTGGAGAAGGGAAGGGGACTTGGCATTTTAAAACTTTCCACAAACTATTCTTGAGTCCTTAAGACAAATTTGAAAATTAAAATGACAATGTTGTAAGTGTGTATGCTAAAAACATTGTTATAAAAAAAACAAAAGAAATATCCATTAATTCAGCTTTCAAAAAATAAAAACAACAACTCTAGATTAGTAGAGAAACTCCTGGTATTAAAAAAGACCATGACTCATTGCATAAACACTAAACTTCACTACAATTAAACTATTTATACCTGATGACTTAAATGGAAAAATTAACTCTTACGAATCCACTGGATAAGGCATTCAATTATCATTTCAACTAGCTCCCCAGTGGCTCAGAAGTACGTTTCAGGCTTACGACGCTAAAAGTCCGGTTTCAATTAAACACCAAATATTTGATTATTCTAAAAAGCGATCGATAGGGACGCTAGTGTTAATAGAACATGGAATTTTGACACAAGTACGTTCCTCTCTTGAGATGTGGATCATCAGAACAAGATTGACCATTTTGTTTCTATAACAATAATCGACAACCGAACAACTGATAGGAATAATCCAATACTCTTCTCTTTCAATTTGCCTAATATTGACACCAGGTTGCACTCTTAATTGTTTTTCTTTTCACCCCAAAGAACCTTCCAACCCTAAACTATAATTACTTTGAAGTTGTGCATATATTCTAGTACTGTTAACAAGATATTAGATAAGGGTTTGAAGTTAATGAAGACTCACAAACCACAAATTCACAAGCTCCCAGCTATAACTCGAAATCAAAGGCTGTTTCCGTGAGAAAGATGGCAGAAGAATGTTGACTGACAACAATATCTTTTCACAGTACTTGTTAAGCTCCTCGATGCAGTTCCATGTACTTTTGAGCCATTGGCATGTTTAATTTTGGTCTTGTAAACTGACGTTTACTTACACTGGAGGCTTTGTGGAAGCGTTGTTAACATAAGCAATCTAAAATTTATCTCGCTCGTTCTCAGAATCTAACAACGAAAATTATGGTGTCGTGCAATAGCAAGTAACATTGACCATTAGAATGGACACAACTGACGATGGACGAAGTAGTTACGTTGGACCTGGGACTTCGTTTTTATATGATGCGATTAACTAACTATCAGTATACAGTAAATACAGATTGAATTTGTTACAAAATTTATTAATAATAGTAATAACCGTCCTTATGACACCTAATTTAATACTTTTCTTTAGTTAGACACTCAACGTTTCGCTTTACAACTTCTTCAAGAGAATTTCACTAAAACGCAAACCGTAACTGATGTTACAAAGCTTCAGTTTGTTTGAATAATAAATTCTAATCGAATATATAACGTGCATTTCTACAGCGTGTGTTTGACATATTAAGTGGTAAAGTTTATTGTTGAAATAATTAACTGTTACCTGTAATAAAGGAAACTTCTTTCTAAGTAATAGATTGATATAACAAAAGTTAAAATTCAAAAATATAATAATTATAAGTAATGAAGTTAGTACTAAAACATAATTATAGGTGCCATCCTTTGTCCCTATTCATCTGTGGTCGTAGTTGTTCGATTTATTAATGTTACTTTAAAATAACCAACGGAGTCGTCATTTTATTTGTTTTAGAACAAAACTACATTGGGCTATTTCTTGTATCCAACGCTGAGAATCGAGCCCATAATTTTAGCGTTGTAAGTACGTAAACTTACCGCTATTCCATCGAGGGTGTGAGTAAGTGTGTGAATGTATTTTCATAGCAAAGCCACATTGGGCTATCTGTTGTGTCCACCGAGAGGAATCGAATCCCTGATTTTAGCATTGAAATTCCGTAGGCTTACAGCTGTTCCACCGGGAGACAGGAGTCGTCACTTAAAAATGGTGATTATATACCTTGCAAGTTTACTCCAGCCAAGAATATCTTCTTAGCTTTCTAGCACACTGTTTATCTTTCTGTTTAATTTACTTTTGACTTTTTTTTCTCAGGTATGGCCAAGTGGTTAGAGCGCTCCACTCGCAATCTGAGGGTTGTGGGTTCAAATCCCCGTCACACCAAACATGCTCGCCCTTTCAGCCGTGGGGACGTTATAATGTGACGGTCAGTCCCACTATTCGTTGGTTAAAGAGTAACACAAGAGTTGGTGGTTGGTGGTGATGACTAGCTGCCTTCCCTCTAGTCTTACATTGCTAAATTAGGGACGGCTAACGCAGATAACCCTCGTGTAGCTTTCCGCGAAATTCAAAACTAACTAACTAACTTTTTCTCCAACATTTTAAAAGTTAGTGTTTTAAGGCTAAATATATTTCAGCGCTATCTTCAATAGTGACAACTTGTTTTGATTTAAGCCTACTTTAATGAAATTCTTCTCAGTTGATTCTCAATTAAACACTGAACATTTAATTGACAGTTCGCGTCCCGTTTCCACAAAAAATACGCTCTTCACACTGAAGCCATGGTACGTTATAAGAATGACGGTTAAGTCCCTCTATTCGGTCAGATAAGAGTAGCCTAATAGTTAGAAGTGGCTGTTATAGATTAATTAACTTCACTCTAGTCTATCAGTTTAAAATTATGGACGGTTACAGGAAACGAGGCTCAGTGACTTCGCGTTTTGGAATCGTAGTCGGATGATTGCGAGTTGGAGGTTGGCTAATGTCATGCTGTTGTGTCTTCGAGCATGGTCAGGTGGTTATGAAAAACTAAATTTTGCATACATATGTTAAATTAAAATAAGACTTACATATACGATGGGTTACCTAGACGTATTATAACAATGGTTAGAAAGATAAAATTAGTATACTTCCGAATATTTTCCTTTTTTCTACTGGCTCATCACCCGTTCTACCAATTCTTTACACTAGTGTGTTTTACTGTTTGTTTGTTTGTGTCAGAATTTCGAGGAAAGCTACATAAGGGCTACTTGTGTATAGCAGTATCTAATTTTGAACTAATATACTATAAGGAAAGTTAATTATGTTCTAAATCAATGCTAGCTAAAATTTCGCTTTCGATTAAATAATTTTCCCACCAATTTTATCATTTAATATGTTTAATAAGCAAGTATAACATTTAGTTGTTTTTTTTTATCTTACTAGTTAGCATTAAAGTCCATAGATTTGAGAATGTCTATACCACGTTAATGATATTAATAACTGTTCAACATTTTTACAGAGAATAACTGATTAAGATTTTCTCGTAATTTTATGCTTTTAAGGTAATTCCCTATACATTCTCTTTCTTGGGGAAAGGGGGAGAAGTGTATATTTCATGTCCTGCTCAGCACTCATTACACGTTTGAAAAGTTTTGTGTAACATTTTATCCAAATATAATTTTTAGTAACAGCTAATAGAAGACTTCGTTCCCGCTACTTGCAATCGCAAATAATTTTACACTGAAATTTCCTCTCTATATATTATATGCACTTTTGTGACTTGTTAAATAATTCAATAAGAAATATTTTGGCGGCGTTAGTGTCGATAATAGTAAACCTCCTAATAGAATATACGTGAGGGGAGTTGGCTTGTAAGATTTAATACTCCTGTCTTCGAAAGAAAATAATAGGACGTTATATGATTTAAAAAAAAAACATTTACATAATTTTTTTAAGTTTCAGTTTGAAGTTTTAGGATAACTTATTAACAAGTTAGAAATTAAAATTCTAGAAAATGGGTAGCAAGGATGATGAATACGACTATTTGTTCAAAGGTAAGGTAAAAGAGATAATGTAGCCTTAACTTAAGGAAGTCGCGGTTTGGTAAAGTTAAGCCTAACTCAGTGTTATGGTATCTTAATTTGTAATTGTAAAGTGTTTCAGTGCTTGGCCAATCTACATCTATTATTTTCAGTCATAAAGATTCGTCTGTATAAAAGATTAATATACAGAGTAGTCTCTATACTCAACGTGTTAAACTAAGTATGAAATTTAAATGGAGTTTAACTTTAACTGAAAAATATTACCATAAAAAATGTTTGACGATAAAAATTAAAATACTCATTCAGTGTCATTGAATTATTGTGTAATGTCTCTTGATTTGTGGATATGTATGTATATTTCCTAAACACTTGACAAATTTGCTTATAGTCCGATGTTTGACATTTTTACTATGGTAAGTTTTTTGCAGTGTTGGCTATTGACATAAAAAATCTGTATTGTATAAATATTTATTACACTCATAATAAAATAATGCAAAGCTTTGTTTGTAGTTATTTTCTATCAATAAATACTATAGAATGCAGTTTGTTCATTGTTAAAGTATTTTATGTATGAGCACTAAATTAGTGTTAACTATTAGATTACTACTATAATTAGTGTTAACTATTAGATTACTACTATAATTAGTGTAAATGTTAGATTAACATCTCTTCCTCATTATTAATATTATTATTATACATGGAATATGCCAAGGCCATGAGTAAATGTATCGTATGTTCTTGCATTCAGTGGT